ACCTATTTATTGAAGTCTTATATTTTATTCTTTTTTTTATTTTGGAATGTGGCAAATTGTCATAAAAAGGGTGATACTCTTTTTCTATAACAGGCTTTAATTATTGCAAATCTTTAAATTTTGTATCAGAGATAGGCAATGGTGCATTTCAAATTTCTGAGTGTTGTAATTCAATTGATTTCTAGTTGTTTTAACTTTTTTTGTTCTGGTAATTTTGTCCAATCATCTTCAAAATCAGTTTTTTATGTTATCTCACCTTCATAAGTGAATTGAAGTTTACAACTATCTGTTACGAGTTTGCCTCCTGTTTTTTTTCCTGGACATAATGAAGTCAACGAGCATACATCATCATAATTTTTAAAAAATGAGTAGTCTAAAACTTTGATTTTTTATGGTTGATTACGCCTTGTCAATCTCATTCTACTTATATAATCCCCAGGAGAATATATTGGTGATTTAGAATAGTGCTCTAGAGTAGAATGGATATTGTCAGCATCCATCGTAGTATGACCCTTTGTCAGAAATAACTGTTCTATAGTAATACTTTTAGTTGTATCCAAAGTACTTAAAACATATGCCAATATTTTGTTACGATTTTGATAATTACAACCATCTGAAATCAAGACAACTTCAGTCACTTCACTTGGAAGTGTGTTAATATATTGAAATATACAACTGGTAAACTCATTTGCACTAACACTACGATTCCCCTCATTCCAGACATATAGAGTAACATCTTTGTTATTTATGAACATAGAAAAATCTCCCATGTGCATATTTCATACTCGTGTCTGCTATGCATGCCAATATGTCCAAAATAATTTATACCAAATTTTTAATCATATAGAAGGTATTTCACAAACGATTTATAGTTGTTAATACATAGGAGGATTTTTTTATTGTTTTTCATTAATTCTACGATGGAGGTAGCACATTGGAGATTTTACCAAAATCACCGCCTATTTTTTCTGAATCCAGGGATATCAATATCTCAAAATCATAAATTTAACACATTGGAGGTTTTTTCATATCAACGACGATATATTGTATTGAACATATTTATTTATTATTTGATTACGATACAGACATGGAACGCTCTAAGTGCATTTATTTACGCCATTTTAAGCCTCGATTGTATTTACATTTGCAAATTCACGAAATAATGGTGTGAAATAAAACATTCGAATAGATATGTCATTATCATACGCTAACTTATATTATTAGCATATGTCACTTATGAATGATAATTATTTCTCAGTTGTTTTTTCCAAAAACCGAGATTAAATATTTTTTTCTTCACTACTCAACAGTTATTAATCAAGATTATAATTGTTCGTAAACAACACTATCCGATAGTTGAACTATTATTAATCAATTATGTAATGGGACAAGAGAAAATCTGTTTCTCGTGTCGGTTTATGATCACTTTACAGTATATTTATGATAATAAAAAATACTGTTATGTCATGTATTATAATCTTACAACACACGGTCATGAGTTAATAAACAAACGATAAGAAAAAGAGCTGATATGTTTTTATCGTCATTAAAATATTTTACCATTACCGTGTTACAGTTTCTGATTACCTACACTTTTTTAGTTTACATATTCAAATAGTGTCGTAGCGTAACGGGTTGTATTTCATTTTTACTCTACGCGACTCACGAGTTAAAAGCTTAAGGATTCCTCAGCGAAAATGGAATAATCGATATCTAACTCACTGGTTTACAATCAATTTAATATGACTGCTAAATACGATTACAGACGCAGACTAATCATGTCAATAGAATAACAAATTAAAATTAGGTTAGGGCGGATTTGAATCTTGGACAATTTCAAACGATTTGAAAGTACTGGTATGCCACCCGACGTCTATAAACCGAATGACGTTATAGGCGTAAATTTTGTAGTGCTAGGTCGATGTGCATTTGCACGGTGACACGACTAGAGATGAAATTTTGGGTGTTATAAGAAATATTTCATCTACACAATCGTATTATTGTTTACACTCCCCTAATTAATCTATTGAGATATAAATGTAAAACAAAATTTATCCACAAAATAATATAATATGTTCTTTTTCTAAGGCATCTTTAAAACAATTAAGGTCCATTGCCACAATAGCGACATCCTTCCTTCTCCTCTTCTCCTTGTCCCTTGACACTTCTACCGCATTTTCTATTTAAATCATTCTGAGGTCGATTCGAAAGTAACTCGTATCATTTTATTGTACTTATTGATGTTAGTTATTGCACGTTTCATTTATGCCTAAAATATAATTTAACATACATTTGCGGTGCATCGAATTGCATCCCAAATCTGATTATTTTTTGTCACTCGAATTGCCTCCAGATATTTCTGAGGCAATTGATATAATTTGACATCGTTTTCGATATTTCGATACTTATCGATATTGGAAATTAAGAGTGATTGTGAATGTACTGCGACAAAACTTGTACTAAATTCAAAATTCTAAATTTGTTATCTAAAACAAGTTAAATGTGTGGATGGTCACGGATGTAATAATAATTTAGTTTAAATTGTGTGTCAACTGTGAAGCAGTTGTCTTATTTTTTTAACAATTAATTTTAAACGTTATGCACTGATAAATGTAGGTCCAGTGAAGTATTTAGGCAGAGGCCCCAAAGGTTAGATGAGTAGGTATCACAAGTTGTAGGAGTGGGTGAAGTGAGGGGAAAAGATCTATATCATAACTTTAAAAAAAACTGAACTTTTTACATTTTTTAATAATATTTTTATATTGACCACATGTTTTATTTTAATTGTGAATTCAACATCAATATTTTTTGATATTATTATTATCATTATTATTCTGTGTGCACAATAATTTAAAAGATTATAATATTAGTTTAATAAAATTATAAAAGATAAAGAAATGAATAATTATATTAAATAATATATAGTAGGTATAATTATGGTGACCAGACGTACTCTTTTTTTTAATGCATTATCGTATTGTCCTTAATATTAGTGTAAAGTACATACAAATGTACTCTTTTTTTAACTTAAAACGAATATTTATAAGAAAAAAAATATTTTACAATTTAAAATAAAGTGATAAATTAAATGTGTTATCAAAATAAAATTGTGCTGCGTTCTGTTTTATCAGTGATAGTGACTATTACATTACATAATATAACAATAAAACACACTACACTCTATCGTGTTGAGACGTCTCATTAGTAATTTCTAACTAACAATGTTATGCAACTGTGACAGAACAATTATCAAAAAGATATCTTTAACATTTTTATTATTTTTAAATTATTATTATAAATTAAAATTACTGAAAATAAAGGTAAATAAATTTAAAAAATAAAATTTTTGTTTTTATATTATACAATGTTAAATGTTTATAAAGTTAAATATGTAGGAAACATGTTATTTTTTATCAAATTTAAAATTTTTATTTTATATTATACTATATGAAATGTTTATAAAGTTAAACATGTTATTTTTTTAATTTAAATATTTTGTTTTTATATCACAGTTTCAAATTTTATTAAAATTAAATTTGTAGAAAATATTTTAATAAAGTTTTGTGCTTAAAGTTTAATTAATTATATTTACATGTATATTTTTAATTATTCCAATGTATTTAGTTACAGATTATTTTCTTATAAATACACACCAAATAAGCCGACATTCTAATGAAATTGTTATTTTTAATAAATATTTTATATAATTGATAATATAAATACATTATATAATTAATCAAATAAAAGATACACATTTTATAGCTAGGGACTATTGGTTATAGTCAAAAAAGGGTAGAATAGTATAGACATTAGTCAATTCTATCATGGTAAAGGTTTTTCGTGATAAAAAGGCAGTTTTAAAATTTACTTCTTTTTAAAGTTTTATATCTGATCATCATAAATATAATATAATATATTATAAAAGTTATATTTAACAGTTTTTTTTAAAAAATATCATATTAATACTACAATCTTTTGTAAATAAAATAAACACAGATAATATAATATAGCAATGACAGAATTTTCATATTAACTAATAACAGTGATTGCTGGCAACTAAAGACTACAGGAAAATAAAGTAGAATTGAATCACGAGCTAGATTGAATCTTTAAATTGTTAAATCTTAAAATCTTCTTTAACTTTCGGTTGTGCAAAATAATCAATGTTACCAATGAACCAACTAAATCAGTTCATCTAACAGAATCGAATCATTCATTAATTAATTACCCATCCCTAGTCAGTATACATTTGCGAACTATCTTAATGAAACCATGGAATATTTTTCTAATAATTTGGCTTAATATTTTTATTAGCATTTTTATAATTTTAAGAGAAAATAGAAAAACTGTCCATAGTTACAAATATAAAAATATAAATTTCAAAAACACCTTACTTATGAAATTAATATATGGTTTGTCCAGATTGCTTTATAATCAATTTTAAATTAATAACTGTATAATTTTGGTCTTAAAATATCAAATTGTATTTAAGATTTTTAAAAAATTACGTAAGCAACAATTAAATAACCAACAAATTCTATTTTAAATCAATATTTGAATGATTTGGGAGCACATTTATATGACAATTACATCAATAGGAATATATCAAAATTATTAATGAAATAATTAACTAAAATATTAAAACATGAAATTGTTATGAAACGTTTTATGATAACAAATGTGTTGAGAACTACTCAAATGATAATAAGCTAGAACACTGTTTTATTGTAATAGAAATTAAAACTTTTAAACACTATGTTTAGAATAAAAGTAATTTCTAAATAATGTATTTTAATCCACAAATAAACAACAATAAATTTAGCATTTATGATTAAACAAATATTTTTAAGATAGTTTTTATAAGTAAATGTCCCATCTATTAAATTATATTTCTATTATCATGACATGCATGCAAAATAGCACAATTTTTACATCAGTATAATATTTTACAAAATAAAAATACTTAGAGAAGAAGGTAATTATATAATAAAAGTTATCTATTGACAGTGGAAATCTTTGAAGGGAATAAAAAAGTACACAAGATAATATTAATAGTGTTATATTATAACCATAGGTTGAATTTCTTTTAAAAAGCAATAATATATATTAAAACAGAGAAGTAATATAAAAAACGAAATGCGCTTCTTTGTGCGTTTATAATGTAAGAGTTTCCATCAACCACAAAATGTGATCCTTTTCATCCTGTAAAATAATAACATATTTCATTAAAATTTGCAAATAATAAATATTTTAGATTTAAATAAAAGGGCGTATTTGAGTTGCGGCCATGGGGGTGGGGACAACGAAACTAATTTTTCTTCAACAGAAACTTAAAAATAATTTACAGTTCATTACTTACAGCTCATGTTTCTGTTATAATGATAACATATTATAATGACAGACTAGTAATTTATATTCTTGATTATTTATACATTACATTTTATAAACAAATCAATGTATTATATTAAAAAAAATATGAGCTATTGGGGAGGGGCAAATGACCCCTTCACCCACCCACCCCCCTCAAATACACCCTTGTTTAAATATATAGTAAACATTTAACAAATGAGCAATTAAATACGAGTTTAAACATGTGGTATTTTAGAACCTTAACAAAACAAGTAGTTAGCAGGGAAATAACAAATGTATAGATTAATAAATAAATAATCTAGTAAGCTATAATGCTCCTTAGACACACAAATTTGTTTGGTTGTTGATTCAATACATTAACCAAATGATAAGGTTTTAGTAACCAAATCATGGTATTAAACTAAAATAATAGCAAGTTTACATAAAATAAAGTTTATAAATCTAGTTTCTTATATTATAATAAAGCTAATTCAAAATCATTCTCAAGTATAATGGACCAAGGGTAATTAGCTATAAAAATATAATATGTAATGGTATATTATTGAACTAATTTGTAAAAAACTGAAATTACAACATATTTAACACTAAAAATATAATTTATAATAATAAATAATATTCGTATTTACCTTATCGAAGATAAATACAGAGTTCTTAAAATGACAAAAAAATAAAATAAAAACTATTCAAAAATAGCTAGTTATAATTATGCATAAAAATTAAATTTATAATATTTGTAATCAAAGTTAAATTTTTAACTTTTTGAAAACTATAACCTGATAAATGTCTTATTTGAATTAAAAAAAAAAAAAAAATATCATATCTGACTGATTTATACTAAATGATTATAAAATCAATATCCAATAATAAACAAAGCTATTAAAGGATCTTTGAGTAAAAATATCTATTATATACCTATAATATATTATACATAAAATTAAAACAAAAATTGAATTAAATTATATGATAGTTAATACTTATAAAATAACAATAAAATATTATTAAACAAATAAATAGTTTATTAAAAGTTATTTATCATTTCTAATACCTTAAACTATTAAAAATAAAATTGAGAGTAAAAAATAAACTTTCTTGCTTAGAGTATTATTTTATTTTCAATATTTTATACGTAATTAGAAATATTTTAAAACTCTTAATCAATTATTTACACACCTAATAACACTTTGTAATTATGTTATATTTGTTTTTAATTAAAAATAATAATATAAATAAAACAAAATAATAATCTGGTTGATTATCTAGTAAAATTTTAAGGAACTTGAATTTACTTAAAAAAAATTAATTCATACCTTCATTAGATATATAATCTATATAATATAAATTAATCTACATATATATAACATATTTCAATTTTAACCTATGATTAATATCTTGGTAGTATACAATTGAGATATGTTTGAATGTAGAGATAAAATTTATACTGATTTTTTTTTTCATATTTAAATTCAAGAAAAAAAAATAAATAAGTTCAAACATATCTGAATAAAAAATTAATAATTATAAAATACTAACACATATTCTTAGTTATTAAACCATATAATACACCCACTGTAAGCAGTACTCGAAATTAATAATGAATAAAACCAGAAATACATATTAGTTCTTTAATCATTGATTTCTAAATTTATATGACAATAAATTAAATATTAATATTATAAAGTAGTGGACAAAATGTCTCTTAGTACAAATTTGTTTTGAAAAGAAGATAAAAAAATATATATTTATTATTTTTATATACTAATACAAATTTTTATTATTGTTATTGATATTCAAAAGTAAATATTAAATCATGTTGGTGGGTAACACATACAATTCTTAAATAATCCATCAGTAATATTAATTGACTTTAAGTATACATTTAAGTATAACAAAACACTACCTTAATCATTTTGATAACATTATTGAAATTTAAAATACATTTTGACTAGAAAAATATTTCAAAAATGCAATATATTTAAACTTTTGTCAAAAACTTATTTAAATACTTTAATTATAAATTGTTTGCAACTATTTATAATTTTAAAAATCATATAATTTAAAATTTTAAAAATGTATAAAAAAAAAAGCTTCTCACCAAACACTGATATAGATTTATATAGTTTTAATATTTTATATTGGATACAACTCTAAAAGGTCAGGTAAGGTAATTTAATAATATAATTTAATGTAAGTTATCCACAGAAGCAATTTTTTTTTTTTTTTTTTTTTAATTTATTTGCTCTTAATTGCAAGACAAAATTATTGCCACTATAATTTTGTTTATTTAAAATTTTATTAAGTAATCTTGCCTGATATTTTGAGTCACTTGGGTATGAGTTTTGTAATGATAGCAAAGCTTGTTTTAAATCTTTTGTTGAAGAACAAATTTCTTTGACTCGGCTAGGTGACATAGTGAGCATCTGATTCAATGTTGAGAAAACCAATTCATGATGATAATCTTCTATAGTCTTTTCCATATTCATAATAATTGAACAAATTATTTGAACTACTCCCTTATCAACATACATGTCTGTAAAACACATTACAATTTAACTGTCCAAAACAACACATTTTAACATTATTATTATTTACCTGCTATGTCGTTGCCCATATGACAAGTAGAATATATAAGAAATACTGCTTTAATCTTCAATTTATCACTTGATGATTTTAGAGCATAGATAATCAAATCAATACCTCCAAGACCAATGAAATTCCAAAACCCTTTCAAATTATGACGGACAACACCTATAAACATAAAATTTTAAATTTTTTTAAATTACACAGTAACAAGAATATTTTAAGTTGCATTTATAAACAAAAAACATTTTACCCGATATTGCATGCAATGCTTTCACACGTACATCTTCCACAATATCACTTTCCACAAGACTAATCAACATGCGCATGTAAGCTGGATTTTCAATGAATTTATCCTGACAATATGGATTGTGTTGAACTGCTGTAGCTATCATTTCTGCAGTTTTACAGCGTACAGATGCGTGTTCAGATTTTAAACCTGGTATAATTACCTGGAAACCGCCGAGCTTCTGAAAATCTAATACGTTCTTGTTATAAGATTAATATATAGAAACACAAAAATGAATGATTAACAAGTTACCATTAGCATAATCAATATTATCGATGTATTCTCCAATAACATCAAATGCATATTCATATTCTTCTACTTTTTTTTTAGAGTCTAATATAATGTTAATTGAATTGTTCATTTCCTCGTGCACATTAACAGTCATGGTAGACAATACATTTGTAAGGAATTTCTTTTTCTAAAATCAAAATAAAAAAAATTTAACTACTCATTTGAGAATAAGATTATGATAGCATTATTGTTATGAACAGTACCAAATCTAATGGGGAGGGGTGAGTGGGTATTGTTGCTTCAAGCGCTGTTGGTGTAAAGGCGTTCTAAGTTAAGGAAAAATAAAAGTCATGAACATACCCTGTACTTCCACCTATGAAAGGAAGCTACATTTTTATTAGCCCCAGTCGTCAAATTTCCTAGATCCTAGATCACTGGTTATGAACATAAATAGAGAACATGATTCGATATTAGGATTTTCAATATGTGCAATTGGTCACATATCTATTAGATACAGTGCACAAAGAAAAAATAATAATATCTACCAATGTAATATATATTTAGTAAAACAAAAAATATTGTAATCTATAGAACATGAAGTGTGATAACTTAAGTGATATTACTAGGATCGAAGCAGATTAAATTTGAAAGAGATGATAAAAATACAAAATAATGAAGTAAACATCGAATGAACAATAATCGATAACGTTTAGTATCGAGCTTGACATGGTGAACGCAGTTAACGCGAATAAAATATAATGAATTGACGGCAACGTTGTACCAATTGGTCGATATCGAACGTGTCGGTCATGGTCGTGTGGTCTACAGACAAACGATCTAACAGTGTGCGGTCCTAACAGCTCGTCGGTAACGGGACAAAAGCTGCCGCTTACTCACCTCTTCGGCCAGTGTCAAGTTGTTCTTGCCGGCATCGCGGTTCTGGGCGCCGACGTCCGTCATCTGCGTAGTATAGTGCAGTATGTCCTTCAGATTGCGCACGCTGGACGGGTTTTCGATGCCGGTGGCCTGACCGTCGTCGCGCTTGGACGCGGTCGTCAGCGGAGGTGCGGGCGGCGACGGCGGCGGCATAATCATCGGGACGAGTTGGCGAGCGTCGTCGGCGGCTGCGGTGGCGTCGTCGTGCGGGCGCGACGTGTCGTCTTGGCTGTCCATTTCCACTTGGGTCCGATCACGGGAACGGTTGGCAGCGATATCGGCGAGGGACCGGTAGGGCGAACGCGCCGGAAGATATGTATAGAGACACGGCGCGTACCGAAGGGGCCCGGTTGCGAGGTGGCGGGGTGGGTAGGGGAGCTAGTTGGCGAGACGGCGGAAATCGATCAACAACGGCCAATCGGACGTCGCGCACGGACGGACGTGTGTGCGGTGGCCAAAACGACGACGTGCGGCACCGGTCGATCAACGGAGATTGTATGTGTATCGACTGGGCCGCCGACCAGCAACCACCGCTCGCGCGCCACAATCAACAGGGCCGTTATCACTTATCCTTATCACACGTACCGCGGCGGTGATAACCCGTAACAACGACGAGCTCCGCCGCGGTCGGTACGATGTCGGGAAATCGAAATCCGCTAAAAGATTCGTGTCCGACAACTCGGTTCCTTTGAGTTGAGTTCAATCATCAACTGTCAAATCTTGTACTAGTTCTACACGGTTCGTTTTTCATGCACGATGACTGACAACAGCATCGTTTCACGACTACGGTTAAAGATATGGTTGCTGTCTCCATTCTTTGACCAATTTCAAAGTCGTAAGCAGTTTCGATTTCAACTGCTCGCAAAAGTTTTAATAACTGTCGATGATAACCAACTAAGTTAATTACATGAATTGCATTAATCGTGACGAAATAAAAATAAATAAACGACAAATAAGTATCTATCTGCGTCATATGTCCCCGTACATGCGCCGATACAATTTATGTCTGTTGGCCGGAAATCTTAAATTAGGCTATCGTATGATTTGCAATTCTGCTTTTTTTACGATCTCAAGAATGTAGATTGCCAGTTATGATTTATAATTTAGACACCAACAGGTGAATGTATCGTATATCTGATTTTTATTTCGATTCGTATTAACAGTTTTGTTCATTTTTAAATGTTTAATGCGTTTTGACAATTATTTGAAAAATACTCGACGAGAGTAATAGATTACTTAACAGTATATTACAAAATATGATTTAAAAGCAATTTATTAAATGAAAAATTAAATGCTTTAATTAAGTACCTTGTCATTTTATACTGTGTTGTTTTCAGACTTAAAGTAGATACCTTTTGGAATTCACTATTGAACATGGTGCTCAAAAATCAAATTTAAACTCCATACTTAATATTAATTAATTTCTTAATTTAATATGTGCATTTTTAATAATATAGGTACTTTAATTTTATCTTTATATATATATCAACCGATGGTATAGTAACAATGATTTAAAACGAGTTTCTACTAAGGTTTATCGAACTCACGACTCATGATTTTAAATCGTAGTTGAACTACTGCAACGAAATATTTATTTTGGAAACATTAAGGCATGTGACTTTCTGATAAAATTCATACTGAATCAAAACATTCAACTCGGCTAAGCGAGTTAACTCTTTGAATCAACCAACTACTCGTATATCAATAGCATCTTTATAATGCTATGCAGTAGCAGTCAAATGATTTTGTCATGTTATGTAGTTGTTAGTTATGTTGTTTTGTTATGTAGCTTATTTTTTAACAAACACTATATATAAAAATCTTTATTTTCAAACATAAAATATACCTATTAATGATATTTTTAATTATTAAATCTATTTTTCAAGTTTTTTTTTGCTAATTCGTCTAGTATTTCGTTTGCAGTTATATGGACAACCCCACGATGAACAGCCATAGTGGCTAAACCATTGAGACGACTCTAAAATAATATAATTACACAATTCATATAATAATATAATATATTATGTTAAGCATTAAGTACTAAATTTAAATTCCATACATTCTTATAATTTAACTATAAAAGAAATAAAAAAAATCTATTAAAGTTTGTTTCAATTAATATTTTAGTGTTTTATGCTTGAACTGTTAATTTTATTCTAGCCTAGAGACTGTATAATAACTAATAAGTATAGCATATTTTTTTTTAAATAGAAAAAAGATGAATACCTATATTATATTATGTATAATATGGATAAAATATAAAAAATATAAAAAAAAAATATTAAAAAAAAGGTCATGGGGGGATTTATCCTCCTCATCCCTCCTCGTTTGATCACCAGTGATGCTATAGCATATATACTACATATATGTAGTCCACGCTGGGCAACGCTAATTAAGTGTCCCATTGAAAGCGTTTCTACGTTTTTGCGATTTTACTTTATCCTATATCAATTTTGATAGAAATTTTTGATCGATTTTACACGCGTTTCTCGGTGGAATCGTACTTTTAGTCTGCTGTGGTAATACTACGCATATAAGCAGAATGCTTTATTGTGTTCCGACGTGCTCAAATATATTTTATAGACTATTCCAAATACTGTATTATCTAATAAAAAATATGAGATTTTGTTGCACAGTTATTTTGTCAATCAACCAATTATCACGATTGCCAAAATATAATTTTATTATACTTAAATTGAAAAACATGTGTTATATCCGAAAAGTTAATTCTATCATTTTGATTATGTATTTAATTAATTATTTTGTTTTCAATTAACATATTACAGTTCTACCCATATTTTTTATTTTTAGTGTTATTATTCGCATCTCAGACAACAGTCGCTGAATGATAATTTTGTATTTATTTGTAACGTTATAAAAGAATTAGCATGAGATCAAAGCAAAATTATTCAGTATACCAAAAATCTTAAAACACTCAATTGTGAGTATTCTGCAAATACTTCACAATATTGGGTAACCAGTAGAGTTAGGATGTTGATGAATTTTATATTTTTTTTCCTTTGATCCTATATAATGCTATCTTAACTAAAATTTATTTCATACCTACTTCCTTAATTCAGAATATAATAATTGTATTTTGCATTTTTTTTTTTTTTTTAACGTCTATTTTATATTTTTATATAATTATTTAAATTTTTTTGATTACTGTTGAATACTAATTTAAATGTAATTTTTCTTATTTCTTTTTACTTTTTAATTTATTTTAATAATTTAATAATTTTATTTACCTAATAGACCAATTATCATGTATGCTTACAAAACTTGGTCAACAACTAAGAGTGATGGAAATTAATTAATATTTTTAAAAAGAGGTACTAAGAAATATCTATGGTCGAACAAGAAACTGAAGCATTCAGGGAAATATAAAAGAAGGAAAAACACAGAATTAGAAGAATTATATAATTAACCAAGCATAAAAAATATTTTACATGCCAAAAGGCTCGAAAAAGGGCTGGGCACATGTGGTGAGTAGACAAAACAATTATAAAATACGTGGTGAAGAATCTGGTAGTGATGGATTGACAGAGAAGCAAAATATACTACAGCGATTGATGAATCCAAAATTTGGAAATTTCAAAAGATCGGAAAGGCTAGAAAAGTTTTGTTGAAGCTCTTAAAAGTCTAAAAGGCTTAAAATGCAATATATATATATTTTTTTTTTTTTTTGGGGTAACGGCCTTTAAGACCAGCCCTCCAAGTATATATTTCTCCATCTATTTCTATCCTCCGCTTCTTCCCTCCATTGCAAACTATCTTCTATTCTTCTTACATCTTTAATAACACAGTCCTCCCATCTTAAGCATGGTCTGCCTAAGGGTCGTTTTCCTTCATTTTAGGTATATATATATATATATATTTATACCTAAAACTAAAACTTAAAATTGAATTATATGCTATTGTCTATTAATAATTCAATTCGCATTTTAAATTACTTTGAAACCCAGTTTCATACTCATATCTCTAATAAAAATTGTTATTCTTAAATTAAATTTTTTTCAGTTATTTAAGCAGAACTGTTTGGTCATATTTTAGGTTAATTTTTTGGAGTTCTTATGGCATTTTAGTATTTATTTTTTTTTTAGTGCATTTTTTTGTGATTTTTTTAGGTCATCAATATATTAACTCTAGTAATCATCAATGTTTTATTCTATTGTAATTAGTCATACGCTACTAATATCAGCGCTGACGACGACATTATAATATTATTATGATACGAGTTACGCGGCATGCGAGTAATACGACGATGATAACCGACGACGGCGGAGGACGATGAGAGAAAAGAATAATGACTCGATTTTACAAGTAGGTTTTTATAACTACTGTTTTATTTCTTTATTTTACGATTCGTGCGTGATATTGTTCAACGTTCTCGACCACCGCATGCTGTCGTTGGTTATTTTTTTCCTCTATAACCCGCATGATTCCAAAATTTCGTTGACAATATATAATAACATCAAAATTGTGACAGATTATTTAACATCACCGTCTGCATCAGTTTAAGTAGCTATACACTTAATGTGATAAATATATTTAAAGTGTAATCACTTAAACGGTATGATCAATCTTGTATTGAATAAACGATATTTATATTCATTTTCTTTTCTTTTTTTTTTTGGTCAAAATCAAAGGTTCTAATTAGTCGAACCGTTAAGTTCTATATGATAAAATTAATTTAGTTGGGTCTAAACCGTAAAAACTTAACAACTATATAGAGATATAAACACACAAATTAAATTATAACTATACAAAAAGGGTTTTTTTAAAGTTGCATTTGTTTTTTTTCAATTAATTCAAAGCCCGGCGAGTATCAAAAGGCATTTTTCAGATTATTTGATGTTTTAATTTAGCTAAATAGAATTAATAGTTCTGGCTATACAAATTTCATATTTTAAAACAATCAAATAGATGGTTAAATCAAGATTTAGGTCATCTGCTCTAATTATAAGCCAATATTGTTTTCTACGAAAAACACTTAACAATATGTATTGAATGTTTATGCGTGATTATATTTTTTAAAAGTTGGAATGCGATTTTATTTTACAGTTCTTCAGACAAAAATCAATTTAGAAAAATATTTGAGTATACTTTGAACAGTTATTCCCTTGATTCGGATTTCAATATGAAAAAATGATTTTCTTCTAAATGTATTAATATATATATACAAATATCTACATATTTATTTATTAATAATAATCTGTAAGAGAAGCTAAAGAAAAAAGATCAATCGCCGTCATGACCAATTAGTAGTAAAAAATACCGTTGCCGGAATTTTATCGATTGGCATTGATTTTACAATGATTTTTTTTCTGAAATCACTATCGAGTAGTAAATCCAAAAAAGTCATCTAATGAGTCATCTCTGATAAGATTGGAAACCTACATACGAATGTTTTATTTTCTTTGCAACTTATTTCAATTTTTACAGCTATTTTTTCAATATAAAAAAAAAAAAACGAAAACCTGAAGAAAAAACCTATAAATAATAATCAGCAGCAATCGCATATCTATGTTATTGATAAAATGAT